CTTTTTAACGGCTAGTCTAAACGAAGTTGTAGTAGACTCAAATACGAACGTGTGGATATAAATATCGCTAAAATTCGAGATCGTATATAGACGTTACAACGTTCAAAACACAAGACCTAAGCCAAACAACTAGACACAAGCAACCAAGTAGGCGAGGCCGCGGTGGCCATAAACATCTACAATCCATAAGACCTCATTAATGATTGTCTCACTAGATTCCCTAGACTTTTTCTTTTTGAAAAAATAGGGATTATTTGGTGAAAGATAGATAGACTGATACGATGTGGAGCTAGAACTAGCGACATCAGATCACGAGAGGGGCTGAGTTAAGTCAGTTTCAGGAGCTTACATAGCTGCTCAATTCAGTCAATATTAAAATGAAATGATAGTTGGAATTGGAACTTAGGGAATAATCTGTTTTTCATAGTTGGTGCAACATGGAAGTATATTAATGATGTCACCTTGTTACATTCTAATATTTCTACTCATTAGAACAGGTGTATAAATGTTAATATTTTATGTTGGAGGCTTCGGTTAGATAGACTTCTAAATTGCTCAAACTTGACTCATAGAGGTGGTGACTTCAACTCGTCTTTTTATGTCCAAGTTGTATGCAATTTCCAGAAACAAACAATCATACGTTTATTGGGTGTGAGGTTGCGATCGTTTTGTGGTCTAATTAAGATGGGTGTGTGGGCCGATTTGTACATTCCCTTGTTTTCGACTGTGGAAGACATTTTTGGATGGGTGGATACATGCAATATTCTGGCTTCCAAAAGGCTCGTTTTGGATTCTATCATTATGATGTTATTATTGGTAATTTGCAGATGTCGTAATAATATATTTTTTGGTGATTAAAACATTACAAAGAATGTGATGTTTGATATGATTCAAAGTCGGTTATTTTAATGGACAGTGTATAGACATAGTAATATAATTTTTAGTTGGGTTTTTTGGTTAAAAAACCTAATTATGGGTTGAACTTTGTAATTGGTTTTTGTTAGCTTTGTCTAGCACTTTTATTTTATACATGTAGCACTTATTTATGGTGTGTTTGGGATTGCTTATTTAAAATAGTTTTTTTAAATAAATATAAACGTGTTTATTAATTCATGTACTACCAAAAAAATAAATTTTTTAAAAAGTGTTTGGATTAGTTTATTTGGTAAATTCAGTTTATGCGTGTGAAATAACCAAAAATGACATTTTACATAATATTGACGTTTTTTTATCATGTATAATAATATCATTTATAGAAAAATAATATCAAGGAAGTTCATAAAATATAGACAAAATTGCAAAAATGGTCCATGTGGTATGCAAAATTTTGGGGTTTTAGTCCAAACCACGAGTTTTTTGGATCCATGGTCCTTTTGGAGTGGTTTCTATGTGGTTTTGGTCCCTGGACTTAACTCCCATTAAGTTGGATCTGTTAAGCCCCCTCACGTGCCTCACACGTGAGGGTAATTTCGTCATTTCATATGTTAGGGACCATTTTTGCATGAACGTTTTTTGGATTAATTCCTTTTAAATACCCCCACTTCCTGCGATCTTCTTCCCCAACGTCTCTTTTCTTCTACCCTTCTTCTTCTTGAGCTCTGCTACAACAAAAATGGTGCTATGTTTTTGTGGAAAAGTTGTTGTGGTGAAAACGTCTTGGACCCCTCTGAATCCAGGAAGGAGATTTTTTGCATGCCCTATGAATGATTCCGTTTGTGGGTTTATTGGGTGGCTTGATCCCCCAATGTGTGCTAGGGCGAAAGCCATCATACCTGGTCTGCTAAGAAATTTGAATTCAGTGCAGGAACGGTGCAATGAGTTGGTTAGAAGTATGAACATGCTACAGGATCAATGCAATGGACTGATATGCAGGAACAACATGTTGGTGGAAAATGTCAAAGCATTGAAGGATGACAATTTGAAGCTGAAAATGTACATGTTTGGAAGTTGGTTTTTCTTTGTGATTGTATTCTTCTGTAATTGATTTGTGTAGGGGTATACTCTGAAGGGTGTTTTGGTCATTTTGTTGTAATTTTATGTGATCATGTTTGTAGTGACTTATGATGATAATGATATATGTACAATTTTATGATGCAAGTGTAATGAATGTTTTACCAAAATGGTATGAATGTATCAGAATTAACATATGAATAGAAATGGTATGAATGTATTACCAAAATGTATATATTAGAACCAATTGTACATAACCAAAATGCACATTTCATTAAGATTTGTAATATAACAACCAAAGTTTCTAAACATAACAACCAAAGATTCTAAACATTACCAAAAGGGACACATTACCATACCTAAGATAACAACCAATTTTTCATAACAACCAACCAAAATCACAGAAAACCCCATGCATGCATGACACATTACTTCTTGGACTAATTCCCACCTTGCCCTTTACAGGTCCTAGAGTTGTGTCCCTTGTTCTTGCATTTGCTACAAGTAACACTGATATGCTTCCTTGATAGCTTCTGCACTCCATCATGTGTTGGTTTTTGGGAACCTCCTTCTTGTGTAGCATTCACTCCATCACCTTGACTTGCCTTCTGCTTTTTGCTTAACCTTTCACCCTTACTTTGTCTTCTCTTTTTCTTAGGCCTTCCCACCTGAGTGCGATGTGGGTGAGGGATTAGCTTTGTGGGACATTCACTTTTGGGCCACATGGATCTACCGTTAATTGGCTCCACCTTAAAAGAATAAGCCTTTTTCCATTTCTCTAGAAAATACACCTTGTGAACCCATTTGTAAATGTCAAGCTCAGCCTCTGGGTCTTTATTCATCTCTTTCAGAGTTGCAATTGCATGTCTGCATGGAATTCCAATTAATTCCCATTTTCTGCAAGTGCATGTTTTGTTCCTAACATCAACCACATGTTGATCCTGCAAAGCTCCTGTGACTTGATACTTGTCTCCCCCATTCCACCTAGCAATGTATTGTGAAGCAACTGTTTTTCTTGCAGCTAGGATGTCTGTTGCTGTGGGTGTTAGTGGACCTTTAGCCTTTTTCATTTCCTTCATGACATTGCATATCCTCTTCATTAGATACTCCCTTATGTATTCTAAACATCCAATGACAGGTTTATCCCTTCCTTTCTCTATCTTCCCATTAAACACTTCACACATGTTTGATATCAACACATCAGAAACTGCTCTTCCTGTGTGTACATTACCATTAAAAAACATTTAATACAATTCACATACAAGTAAAACAGTTCACTAAGTGAAAGACATAAGGACCAAATTGGAATATATAGATTTACCTGAAAAATGACTCCTTGCCCAATGTGCAGGAGGAATTTGCTTCAACCATTCACATGCCTCCTTATCATACTGACTAAACTCCTTCATCAAATGTTCAAACTCAGGAATGGTGGTAGCTGATGCACACCTCCATAAGTGGTCCCTGTACTCTGTTTGCCTCCATCTTTTCCTCATATTGTCATGAATATGTCTGATACAATATCTATGCTCAGCATTGGGAAACAATTGCTCAACTGCAGTATGTAAACCCTGCAAGAATCAATTGTCAATCATTATAATTAACTTAAAACCACACTTTAAATGACCAAATGTATAAAAACCACTTCCAGCTTTACCTTTTTCCTGTCACTTATGAAAGTAAAATTTGAGTTTCTTCCAAGGTCCAAGTCATCCCCAAGGTTATCTAAAAACCATTTCCAGCTTTCTGTGTTTTCAGACTCAACAATCCCATATGCTAATGGGTAAATTCCATTATTGGAATCAAGTCCAACTGCTGAAAGGACCTGCCCAGGGAATGATCCTTTCATGAAGGCACCATCAAAACCTAATAAGTCCCTAAGGCATTCCTTGAACCCTTTTTTCAGTGGACCCAAACACACATAAATTCTTCTAAACTGCCTGGTTGGGGAATCAGGGTTAGGCTCAGAACATACATCTATTTTCACTGTGGTGTCTGGGTTGGTGGCTTGAAGTTCGAGAACATAGTCCCTCAACAGTTCATACTGTTTTGTGTAGTCCCCAGTTATATGCTTTCTTGCCTTATCCTTTGCCCTGAACACCTTGTCCATAGTAACACCCACTTGGTAGGTCTTTTGAAAGTGATCTTGTATGGCTCTCAAAGGTATATCTGGATTCGCCTCAACTTGATCAAAGATTTTCTTGCTGATTAAAGAAGCAGTACAAGCCCTGACTTTCCTTGTTTGCAAACATGTGTGAGTTTGGTTTAAGGTCCTTATAAACCAGTCGGATTCAGGATTTGACCTAGATGCATGAATGTACCAACCACATGTTACTTTTTGTGTCTTTAATTCTTTACCCTTTCTTTTTGAAGTGGTAGCTTGACTACCCACTTGGCCTTTATTGGTGACAGGTACAACTCCTCTACACTGTGCCCTAAGCCTTACATTGTCATTTTTTTTAAAGAAAAGATTCCTTCTTGATTCTATTGCATGCAGATCAATTGCCTCCTTTAATTCTTTTTTACTATTAAATTTATCTCCAACTGAAAATGATTGTTTATGTACTGCCGCAAGACTGCACCTTTTTTCTTTTCTCAAATTCTTGATAAGAGCTCGTCTCTCTCTGTCTTGGTCAGATCCTTCATCCAAAGATTCAAATTCCTCATTGTTGATCACTTCCATATCTTCAGGTTCATGCCCATGAACAACATTTATACAAGAACCTTCCACATCACTTTCAACATTGAGAGTGAAGTCTCCCATGTCCACATCCACATCCTGTATATTGTTGTCAACATCCATTATGTCATCCACATGATCTTCATCTTCTATTTGTCTCTCATCTTCTTCATACCATGGATCACTATTTTCAGATTCATCATACTCTTCAAAATTTGGATCACTTTCTTGAGATTCATCATCCTCTTCATACTCTGGATTACCCTCTTCAGATTCTCCATCCCCTTCATACTATGCATTATCATCATCACTCCCAATCAAATTTTCCATAAGGTTATCAAATAACTCATTAAATTGCTCATCAGCATTATTAACAGGGGGTGTTGTAGCATCCTTCATCAACAGTTGATGCCTCTTGAACAACAGTTGCAGCCTCCCTAACACCATCCATCTCATCAATATGAACACAAGTTGCTGCCTCCTGAACATCAGTTGAACCATCCTGATCATCATTCTTTTCCTTTGAAATGTGAACACCCTCATCAATATAATCTAAATTAAGCCTCTTGCTACAAGAACTTTCACCTATATTGGAATTCCCAACCCTACCCCTTCTATACTCTGGTGAGAAACTATCATTCTTACTCCCATAAAGAATCAGAGACATGAACTCACCAATAGGCTCACCATTACCATGGTTCACATTTTTCATTGGAGAATCTGCATGAACTTGACCCTCAACTTCAGCCCCTTGATCATCATTTTCTGGTAATTCCTCAATGACAACTTTACCCTTTGCATTTGGTGACATGAAGTAAGTCAGTAAATTTGTCTTTCCATGCTCTGTGTACACCTCAATCAGCTTGTTATGTGCAATGTATTTAGAAAGGTTGATCACATCCTGATCATTCCCTAAAGCTCTAAGACCAAATTGAAAGTCACCATTGGGTATCCTAAAATGGTAGTATATAACTGGGGATTCATCAGCGAATTCAGAATTTCGTGGGTCTGGGTAACGTAGGTCAAGCATTATGGCATCAAGTTCATGCACAGAAAACTCATCAATGTCCACATAATCAACATAACGCACTTCACCTCCAATGTACTTTATATCAGGTAACTTAGTAAATTTCCCACCGTGATGAAGCTTAATACTAAACCATGTGGGTGCACCAGCTAAAAATCAAAATTGTACATATTAACAAAGTCAAAATTTTGCATTTTTTTGTTCTAAATCAATAAGAAAATGCAAAGTATAAAAATTAAAGAAAACAGAGCAACTTACCATATACAGTTGATACATCAACAACTTCGTGTTTTGGTCTGATATGCCACATTACGAACACCATTTCGTATTAAACGTATCCCCTTGTATGTGTAGTGTCGATTATCTTGTTTGGATAAGCAACGAGGGTTTTTTGCAGGTTCAATGGAGCAGAAGCAAGAAGGAGGGAGTTGGGGAGTTGACGAGTGTTGGGGAAAGTAAATGAGGGGAAAAAGGAATTAATCCAAAAAAACGTTCATGCAAAAATGGTCCCTAACATATGAAATGACGAAATTACCCTCACGTGTGAGGCACGTGAGGGGGCTTAACAGATCCAACTTAACGGGAGTTAAGTCCAGGGACCAAAACCACATAGAAACCACTCCAAAAGGACCATGGATCCAAAAAACTCGTGGTTTGGACTAAAACCCCAAAATTTTGCATACCACATGGACCATTTTTGCAATTTTGTCTATATTTTATGAACTTCCTTGATATTATTTTTCTATAAATGATATTATTATACATGATAAAAAAAACGTCAATATTATGTAAAATGTCATTTTTGGTTATTTCACACGCATAAACTGAATTTACCAAATAAACTAATCCAAACACTTTTTAAAAAATTTATTTTTTTGGTAGTACATGAATTAATAAACACGTTTATATTTATTTAAAAAAACTATTTTAAATAAGCAATCCCAAACACACCATAAATAAGTGCTACATGTATAAAATAAAAGTGCTAGACAAAGCTAACAAAAACCAATTACAAAGTTCAACCCATAATTAGGTTTTTTAACCAAAAAACCCAACTAAAAATTATATTACTATGTCTATACACTGTCCATTAAAATAACCGACTTTGAATCATATCAAACATCACATTCTTTGTAATGTTTTAATCACCAAAAAATATATTATTACGACATCTGCAAATTACCAATAATAACATCATAATGATAGAATCCAAAACGAGCCTTTTGGAAGCCAGAATATTGCATGTATCCACCCATCCAAAAATGCCTTCCACAGTCGAAAACAAGGGAATGTACAAATCGGCCCACACACCCATCTTAATTAGACCACAAAACGATCGCAACCTCACACCCAATAAACGTATGATTGTTTGTTTCTGGAAATTGCATACAACTTGGACATAAAAAGACGAGTTGAAGTCACCACCTCTATGAGTCAAGTTTGAGCAATTTAGAAGTCTATCTAACCGAAGCCTCCAACATAAAATATTAACATTTATACACCTGTTCTAACGAGTAGAAATATTAGAATGTAACAAGGTGACATCATTAATATACTTCCATGTTGCACCAACTATGAAAAACAGATTATTCCCTAAGTTCCAATTCCAACTATCATTTCATTTTAATATTGACTGAATTGAGCAGCTATGTAAGCTCCTGAAACTGACTTAACTCAGCCCCTCTCATGATCTGATGTCGCTAGTTCTAGCTCCACATCGTATCAGTCTATCTATCTTTCACCAAATAATCCCTATTTTTTCAAAAAGAAAAAGTCTAGGGAATCTAGTGAGACAATCATTAATGAGGTCTTATGGATTGTAGATGTTTATGGCCACCGCGGCCTCGCCTACTTGGTTGCTTGTGTCTAGTTGTTTGGCTTAGGTCTTGTGTTTTGAACGTTGTAACTTCTATATACGATCTCGAATTTTAGCGATATTTATATCCACACATTCGTATTTGAGTCTACTACAACTTCGTTTAGACTAGCCGTTAAAAAGTAATATATTTTTTCTTATGAGATTTATATCCACGCCTTCTTTATGAGTGTATATATGGACGTTTTTTTTATAAAATCATAAGTAAAATATATTACTTCTTAACGCTAATAATTGGAGTAATCTAAAGTAATATATTTTTACTTACGATCTTTATATCTACGCGTTATTCATGATTCATTGGACTGCTAATAAAAAATGTTCATACTTATATTCATAAATAACGCATGGATATAAAGATCCTAAGTAAAAAATATATTACTTTTTAACAAGAGTAATCTAAAAGAAAGTTGTATTAGACTCAAATATGAACGCGTAGATATAAAGATCATTAAAATCCAAGATCATATGAAGAAGTTACGAAGTTCAGAACACAATACCTACGCAAACAAGCAGCCGAGACTACGGTGGTCATAAGCATCAATATTCCCGAACACCTCATTAATGATTGTCTCACATAGGATGCCTTAAGTTATGTATGGTATGTGGTATCTTGGGGAACTCACTAAGCTTTGTGTTTACGGTTTTCAGTTTATGTATCAGGTACTTCGGTTTTCAAATGGAAGAGCTCGGGATGATTGCAGAGCACACCACATGTTTACGCTTTCTGTGATTTACTCTGACTTGATGATGTTTTGATAAATCTAGATTACCTTAGTTTTATGGAAAGGATACGTATTAATGATTTATTAATCCAAAAACGAAAATTTTATGTCATTATTTTTGGGGCGTTACAAGTTGGTATCAAGGTCTTGGTTTGAGGGATTCATACATACTCTCGGGTGTGTTTGAACTCAAACTGAGGATTTGGTAAAGTTTTCAAAAAGAAAAGTATTTTTAATAAAAAAAATTTCTAAGATAAGAAAGGGTGAGGTGCATGCAATCAACCGAAAAACCCATCAGCCCCAAAACACAAACCGAACACCTGGATCGTCTACATTACGACATCTTTGTAGGTCCAAACAAATCTTTCGGGTTGAATGGGCTGGGAAGACTATTTGATTTTCACAAAAAAATGAGTCTTTTCCGGTAACATATGTCTTTCCCAGAAAGCCCCAAAACCATATCTTTCTGGCTGAATGAGCTTGAAAGACAATTGTGCCCCAAACTTTGCCTCTTTTTTTTCTTTTCTTCGTCACTCTTCATCAGACATCATCTCCTCTTCACCAAGCTCCCTACTTCGTCGTCGGCCAGCCTCCGCCTGCAGGAGCGCCGCTACAGCCACCAGCTCTGCCCCATTGGTAATCATCTCATCTCTTATTTTTTCTGATTTGTTTCTTCTGATTGTAGAGCACCAGACCTGAACCTTCATCTATTTCATCTTATTTTATTTCTTATGATTTCCAAGCATAGGATTTAGGAGGACCATTTCACATATAAAGATTCATTCAGAAATTCTTCTTTTAGCATATATTTTGTGTAATTTTGAATTTGTATAACAATTTGTATTTAGATTTTTAAATGTGTATTGTGTAATTTTGATTTTGTATATAAATTTGTATGTTTTTATAATTATTCAGCAACTTTATCCATCACGGTATAGAACAGTAGGGTAATATGGTCATTTTTCATTGTTCAGCATAGTCAGTCAGATGTACAATCAAATAACATGATTTTTTCCAATCAATAAACTTTTCCGGACAACATTTTTTAGACAACAACTATCAAACAGATCTTAACATATTGGTAATTTGTGATAGAAAGACTTCTCGAATTTTACGCACAAAAATAAATTTTGATTTAAAGTCATCAAACAATTTAGGCTCCCTAAAATAAGTTATTTACCACATTGAATTGTTGAATATTTTTAATACTATGAAATAATTGATGTCTATAATTTTATTATTATATTTTTTTCTCTCATATGATTTTTAATTTTTTTTTGTAATTGAACATAATTGTGGAAAAAGTACATAATATAGTGAGAAGACTCACCTTGCAGACGTAGTCAACAGCTAACATCTCTCAGAGCTAATGAATGGGTGTTATACACCTCCTAATAAACCACACAAAGTAAGCCCCTAGTCCACCTTCTAAAACTAGCCAATTGACCAAAAGTCAACCAAGAAAAAAGTCAAAGATCATATTCAAAGTCAGAGTCAACAGTCAAAATCCTCATGAGCTGACCTCCATGTCGTGGGCAACCCATGGCCACGTCGTGGCTAACAAACTCAATTCTATCCAACATCTCAACCGCGAATAATTCGATCCCCATATTGTAGCACACTCTAGACAAAACAATCGATGAGCCCCTCATTTCCACGTCATGGAACCCTTCATGCCACGTCGTGGCTACTGGTTGTGAACAACTTAATAGATTGAGTCCTTAATCCATTAAGCCTTTGACTCTAACTTTCCAGAAATCTTTTAGGGACTCCAAAGGCTCATAAAAATCCAAAATTTATTGAATTTCATGTGCAATTCATGTTTCTCTCTCTCTCTCTCTCTCTCTCTCTCTCTCTCTCTCTCTCTCTCTCTCTCTCAGATCTAGGTCAAAATGGAAGAAATAGGGTCAAAACCCCCATGCATGAATTCAAGGCTAAACAACTACTCAGATCTAGAACACCTAACCATCTAGGGACCTCAATGGCCAATAAAAGTTGCAAACTTTATTGAATCTATCCACTCCAACATCATGAACATGAAGAAAAAGCATCTAAAGCTAGATCTAGAAGAGGCTAACCAACAAGATCAGAAAAAAGAGACTCACAAAGGTCCATAAGTTGTTCAAATGAAACATCTAAGCTTGCCAAGAGGTTGTCTTCACCACAAGGATATTATTCTTCCTTCAAAATGCACCAAATCACCAAAAATAAGCTCAAATATGGAGGAGTGGGTATTAGGGTTTGCTTCAAGGTTCTTGGGGTGATGGAGGCTGAAAATGATGCCCTAATTATTAGGTTAGAGGCTCAATATAGAGGAAACTCTAAAATTATAGGCTTAGGCCGAAACAGTCGCCAGGTTGTGACACCCTTCATGTCACGTCTGTTGGATTAGTGTCTAAGCCCGTAACCATATTTGGTAAGTAATTGACCCGGTTGTGCATGGTCCTTTTGGGTTGCCTTCACCAAAGCAACTTGACTGGAGAAATAATAGAGAAAGAGGTTATTATGGTTTATTAATATATTATATGAATAATATATTAAAAGAGAAATCATATTTATTTAGTTAACATTGGTCAAGAATTAATTAAGAATTAATTTTGTGATCAAAAGAAGTTAATTGAACTAGGGGGACTGAACTGTAATTATGTGATAGTTGCAAAGTAGGGCAAAGGATGCCCTATATGATAGGGTTCACGAATTCAAGGGGATAAGGCCTTAGAATTCGTCCATGATAAGGTTTCTAGGGTTATCCTTTGGGTTGCTTGGTGGCTAAGAAACCAGATAAGGATAAGGACTGAAACCTTAATTCCTACACCTATATAAAGACCCTTTGGCATAAGAAATTCGGCCACTTGATACCTAGGGTTCCTAGAGCCGAATTTCATACCTCCCCTCTCTCTCTCTTGCCTCTCCATTTGCTCTTGGTGTTTGTGATCCATTAGAGGTACTACACTTGTGGTACTTGCTTTCAAAGATAAGAAGATTCAAGATACAAGTTGTTATTACAACATAACAATAAGAGGTATGTATTCCATTATCCTTTATGATTTTCGAAATTACCTAGGAGCATGTTAGGTTTCTTTTGTGTTCATAATGTTGTATAACTAATAGTGAAAACATAGATCCGTATCTAGG